TGGCGCAAGCTAGATTCAAGTGATTATTATGTTTTGAATATGGACATTTTTCTTACAAAAATGCATTGATTCGCTACAGGAGGCCTTTGTTCACCCCCCGGAGCCGTGTGAGACACTTTTTTTATGGATGGGTGCTTTTTATTTAACTTCTTTTGGACTGATGCATGCAACACCCGCTGAGTGCCATTAAACAGCTTGAAAGATCAAAGACAATTTTTAATATAACTCCGACTGGATTCGTCTGAAAGAAGAAAGCCATATACACCTAGGATGACTTGAGGGTGGGTAATTTATGGGCTAATTAAAATTTTTGGGTGAACTAACCCGTTAACAATGCTGTTACGACCGTTTCTTTGATGATTATTTTTGTTGTATTGTATTGCTCTGTTTCTCTCTTTCTCTCTCGCTCTCCTCTTTGGTCTGCTCTCTCATAGGTTGCATGATGCTGTGGTGTCGGCGCATAATTGGTCGTTCTATTAAGGCGGAGTCTTTTAAGGAAGCCGCTTGCCAGCTGTCAGGGAGCTCATTGTTGGTGCGAACACGAATGGGTTCGGAGCACCTGGATTCCTCCTCCGGCCAAACTATTGTTTAACACCTGCTGTTGTGACTAAAACTGCTCACCATGTGAAACAGAGCGTAGGGGTGTCCTGCCCATTTTCTTTTGTGAATTCGTTTGGGCTTTGTTTTTGGTTAGGAAGTTAGGTACACTCTTAAAAATAAAGGTGCTTCAATAGGTTCTTCAAGCGATGCCATAGAAGAACCATTTTTGGTTCCACAAAGAACCATTCAGTCAAAGGTTCTTTAAAGAACCATCTCTTTCTTATCTTTTTATAATCTGAAGAACCTTCTTTCACCACAAAGAAGCTTTTGTGAAACAGAAAGGTTCTTCAGATGTTGAAGGTTCTTTATGGATCCATTTAGACAAAAAGGTTCTTCTATGGCATCGTGAAGCACCTTTATTTTTAAGAGTGTAAGCTGGCTGTATTTTTGTTTTATAAATTGTCTAGGTTATTTAATTTCTCTTTTTTTTTGTTCTAGTCTCCTTTTTGTTTGTTATGTTGGCCTGTGGCCACCCCGAAGAGATGCTCTTCATGTTTCACGTATAACTTTTAATAAATCCAATCGTTTCTGGTTCCCGTGAATGGTGTGATTGTTTGGTCCCCGACCGGAGTGATTATTTCTTTTAGCTTGTTGGGAATCCAGCACCAACACTATCATCATTATGCCCCTTTCATTCCCTAGACGCGGGGCGTGATGTAATAAATAAAGCAATAAATGATGGCAAATCGAAGTGATACCTGTAGATTTAAAAATAAAACCGCCAGTAGGTGGCGACAAGTCGCTGTCTTAATGAGCCAGGCGTCATGTCATTCATTCATTTAGTAAAGAAGCAAAATGCTGTAGTTATGAATAGGTTATTAATCACTGACTCTCCAAATCGTTCAAAGCCGCAGATTCGTTCACTAACGAAACACCGCTGTATGTTGCTTGGAGACGCACACCAGATGAGACACCAACACTATCATCATTATGCCCCTTTCGTTCCCTAGACGCGGGGTGTAATAAATGCATTAGTAAATGTTGAAAATAACATTAACTAAGATTTAAAAAATGCTGTAGAAGTATTGTTCATTCTTAGTTCATTGTTAACTGAAGTGGTTAACTTATGTTAACTAATAAAACGTATTAGTTAAAATAGTGTCTCGCTCTTCTGTTTTATTGATTTATTTGATCGTTTCTCTTTTATTTGATATCACAATGGAGGGAATGTGTTTGAACAATGGAGGGGTGAAAATGAACTGAAACCTGTGACACCTGTTCATTGCCTAATTGACCATACTGTAACTCCAACCACTCCCTGTAAGTTATTACATAACCACAATTCAGTAAAATATGTTTTGTTCCAATTCATAGATCTTATTTATATGCACGCCTGTTTCTGCCATTGAATAAAAAATAAAATAAAAGGTAATTGTGGCTTTTTATCTCACAGTTCTTGCTTTGTTTTCTTACAATTCTGACTTTTTTTCTCACATCTGCGAGTTCACATCTCCCAATTCTGACTTTTTTCTCAGAATTGATACTTTTTTCTCAGAACTGCGAGTTTCACTCAATTCATATTGAGAATTGTGAGAAAAAAAAGTCACAATTACCTTGTTTTATTTTTCATACAATGGCTAAAATGGGCTTCCATAGATATTTAGCTTGAAAACAATGAAATTCTAAAAGACATGAAGACATTAGCAAATGTATTGGTGTGCTTCCAAATCAACAGCTTGGTTTCAGCTCGTTCAACAGACTAAAACACATCCGTTTATTCATTCTTTTGTGTGTATACATAAACCTCAAAAACATGCACATTTGAAATAATTTTTATATATATGTCACTGTGAAAACTATTGATGTTCACTGACCTTATTATTGTTCACGGCTTCATCTAAGGGACAGAAAGTGTGGTCTGTGTGTAGTTTGGAGTCTCGACACACCAAACACACGGTCTGCTGATCCTCCAGACAGAAGAGCTTCAGCTTCTCTTTGTGAGCGCTGCAGACGGCTTCAGCTCCTGATGAAGATCTTTGACGTCGCTCCTGTTGGAAGGTCTCACACAGGTTCCTCAAAGCCAGATTTAACGTAGGATCATTCACAGTCGATATCTCTCTGCACATGGGACATTCCCTAATTCCTTTACTTTTCCAAAACGCCTGGATGCAGTCTGAACAGATGCTATGACTGCAGTTCAAAACAACAGGATTTATGAAGAAGTCAAAGCACACAGGACAAGTGAAGTCCACCTCAGTAAAACCTTCAGATGCCATTTTACACGTCCAAATCTATCTTTAAAGTTACACTTTCAGGTTTTAAGCTTCACATCCACAGCAGAAATGCACAGAGTTTGAGGCAAGATATGAGCTAAAACAACAGGTGAGGTGTGTCTTTATAGCCAGTGCATGGGAGGAGTGCAACTCTACACTGAGAAATGTGTTACATTCTGTTCTGCATCATCTGTACAATGCAGATAAACCAGATCCTCTCAGTCTCAAGATGTATGTTAACCTTTTTATTTCAACACAAGATTCACTATTTCAACACTTTAGAGATCACCAGACTTTTTCATTTAAATAAATAATACTAAATCAAATAGTAGTCTAAATCTTTATAGGACATAATATTGCCCTGTTTATTATTATTCTTTAGATGTTAATTCACAATAACTCAATAAGCCCAATCCCAAGAGATCTTTTTGCACAAGAACAATGATTAAGGATGCTCCAAAAATGATAAAAAGCAACATAAAAGTAGTCTGTATGACTCGTGTCTTGAAGTCTTCAGAAGTCATACACTTTTGAAATAAAGGGTCTTTAGTGGTATTGATGGTTCAACGTGCATAGAAACTTTCCATTGCACAAAAGGGTCTTTATAGTGGACAAATGGTTTTAAAATGTTCTTCACAGAAGAAAAAAAAGGTTCGTTGGTTAACCAAATAATGTTTAAAGAATGTATGGCATGTTGCATGAGGAACAGACCTGCATGTATGTTATCCAATGATAATTTGCAATAAATCTGCAGTAAATATCAATAACATTCAAACCTGCCCGTTCACATCAAGGATGATAGCTATAATGAAAACAATAACGATGAAGTGATAATAACCGTTCTAATTATAAGCATAGCAGAGTCACACAACAACTAGGATGATAATGATACAGAACAGAACAACATCGCTAGAATTTCTTTAAAAACAATTGTTTTCAGTTGACGAACAATGAAAACATTGACAGCCAATCAGAATCCACCTGATAGTAGTGCACTCATCATTCAGAGCAATTATTCATGGCTGTTTGATGCTTGTTTCTTGATTCCCCTCATTCTTGAAGTGGCAGGTACTGGAGATGACGCAGGTGTGGGAGGAAGAGAAATATTTACACACATCAGCTGCTATGAATCAAATTTCAACTTTACATTTGTCAGTCCTCATTCGCCTGTTACAAATAGTGCCTAAATATTTCTGTGTTCCTTTCAACTGATTTGATTTATTGCACTGTAAATTATACTGAAACAATCATGAAAATAAAAATAAATGGTGTAAGTCACGCCTATTATTGTCATATCAGAACCATGTTCAATGCAATTGTTTATTGTTCATTATCAGCTCACTGATCACTAATACTGTGAATGAGTTAATAAATACATGTGCATATCAAGCAGACCTCATTGCTGTCCACATTTATGGGACTCACACATAGAGACATGTAAACATAGCTGTAAACCAGTTCTCTGTAGTTCTGAAAACAAAACCGATGAAACGAAGGGCCAGTTCCTGTAAAACATCTGTGGATCCTCTGACAGCCATCACCATGTGTGCATTTTGGTCTCTGCGGTGTACAGAAATCAACTTCTGAATTCAGGAAAAGGGATGTGCACCAGGACTAACTTTGACTAATTGCTTTACTTTATAGATAATAATATACTATATCTCTATTATAGACCAGTCATCTGTACACGTGGCTATAAAATCGCAAGGAAAGCTTGACGTGTACCATCTATACATTTAAGAGGATTCTATTCGTTAGGATACTAACAGCAACTGAAAGTTACACCATTAACCCTCAGGTGTTATTTGGTCATTTTTGACTTTTTGTTTTGGAAAATATATAGTAAAGATATTGTTCATCAAAGTATGGTAACAATTCAATTCATGTTTATTTGTACAGTGCTTTCATGATACACATTGCAAAGCAGCTTCACAGAAAATGAATGTTATACTATAATATATTATTATACTATATAATATTAATAAAATAACTTAATAATTCTGTTATATGCCTTTTAAAATTGTTTAGATTAAGACACAAAATATACACATCAGCAGAGACATTAAAACAGGTCAGAGTGAATTAATTTACAAATGCTAACAAAACAAACTTTCTATTTTAATGTTAAAATCGGATTGATCTTTGTTCTACTCAATAATTCAGTCATTTCGTCTCTAAATGATTTCTTCAGATCACTGGTAAGATCACCAGAGGACAAATGTCACAGCGGACACCAAACCATGGGTAGACTTTCTCAGTGAACTTCTGTGTAAAAGTGTGAATGTATGCGTTATTGAGAGGATTGATGAATGACAGTTTTCCTTTTTCATAGTTCAGCTGAACTCTGATTTTCTGGAGTTTATTCTTCACCGACAGGGGAGGCGACTGCTCTGGTGTAACGAATGCATAATATTCACCAGAAGCGTACCCAAGAACCCAGAGTCCTTTCTTTGTCAGAATGTCATCCTTCCTCTGAGCAGATTCTGTCATCACACCAAAGGTCCAGTTTGTGAGGTCTCCAACCTCAATGTCCCAGCAGTGAAGTCCTGAGTCGAAGCCCTCTGAACCCAGAACACACTCCCGACTGTCAAATCTCTCGAGATTATCAGGAAGCAGCTTTTCCTCATCCCTGAACCGCACGCTGGTCAGATCATCAGACACGAGGAGAGTACAGTGAGCAGTGTTGGGGTCCAAGGTCACTGGAGCTGAAGAGAGAGGACACGTGCACAAACATTATGATTTCTAAAGGTTTTAATGAAGTCTAGTCTGCTCAGCAAGGCTGCATTTATGCAGTAAAAACAGTGAAATAATATTACAAAATCAAACTAGATGAGTACATTTTGTGAATAAACTTTGAAGTTGGCTTGAGAAAGCCTAGCCTGAAAGTTTGAAAGTTTAGACAGATGTTAATAGCGTGTTGCTAGCATGATTAGCATGTTGTTAGCACATTGCTAGTATTTGTTGTTAACCTGTTTCTAGCATGATTAGCATGTTGTTAGCACGTTGCTAGTATTTGTTCTTAACGTGTTTCTAGCAGGATTATCTTGCTGTTAGAATAGCGCATGATTAGTATGTTGCTAATCATGTTTCTAGCATTTTGTTAGCATGTTGCTAGGATTTGTTGTTAACGTATTGCTAGCATGATTTAGCATTATTAGCATGTTGTTAGCACATTGGTAACATTTGTTGTTAACATGTTTATAGCATGATTAGCATGTTGTTAGCACGTTGCTAGTATTTGTTGTTAACATGTTTCTAGCATGATTATCATGTTGTTAGAATAGCGCATGATTAGTATGTTGCTAATCATGTTTCTAGCATTTTGTTAGCATGTTGCTAGGATTTGTTGTTAACGTATTGCTAGCATGATTTAGCATTATTAACATGTTGTTAGCACATTGGTAACATTTGTTGTTAACATGTTTCTAGCATGATTAGCATGTTGTTAGAATAGCGCATGATTAGTATGTTTGCTAATCATGTTTCTAGCATGATTAGCATTTTGTTAGCATGCTGCTAAAAAATTTTGTTAACATGTTTCTAGCATGATTATCATGTTGTTAGAATAGCATGTTGTTAGCACGTTGCTAGCATTTGTTGTTAACATGTTTCTAGCATGATTATGTTATTAGAATAGCGCATGATTAGTATGTTGCTAATCATGTTTCTAGCATGATTAGCATGTTGTTAGCACATTGCTAGCATTTGTTGTTAACATGTTTCAAGCATGATTATTATGTTGTTAGAATAGAGCATGATTAGTATGTTGCTAATCATGTTTCTAGCATGATTAGCATGTTGTTAGCACATTGCTAGCATTTGTTGTTAACATGTTTCAAGCATGATTATTATGTTGTTAGAATAGAGCATGATTAGTATGTTGCTAATCATGTTTCTAGCATGATTAGCATGTTGTTAGCACATTGCTAGCATTTGTTGTTAACATGTTTCAAGCATGATTATTATGTTGTTAGAATAGAGCATGATTAGTATGTTGCTAATCATGTTTCTAGCATGATTAGCATGTTGTTAGCACATTGCTAGCATTTCTTGTTAACATGTTTCAAGCATGATTATTATGTTGTTAGAATAACGCATGATTAGTATGTTGCTAATCATGTTTCTAGCATGATTAGCATGTTGTTAGCATGTTGCTAGCATTTGTTGTTAACATATTTCAAGCATGATTATTATGTTGTTAGAATAGCGCATGATTAGTCTGTTGCTAATCATGTTTCTAGCATGATTAGCATTTTGTTAGCATGCTGCTAAAAAATTTTGTTAACATGTTTCTAGCATGATTATCATGTTGTTAGTATAGCGCATGACTAGCATGTTGTTAGCACGTTGCTAGCATTTGTTGTTAACATGTTTCTAGCATGATTATGTTATTAGAATAGCGCATGATTAGTATGTTGCTAATCATGTTTATAGCATGATTAGCATGTTGTTAGCACGTTGGTAGCATTTGTTCTTAACGTGTTTCTAGCAGGATTATCTTGCTGTTAGAATAGCGCATGATTAGTATGTTGCTAATCATGTTTCTAGCATGATTAGCATGTTGTTAGCACGTTGCTAGCATTTGTTGTTAACATGTTTCTAGCATGATTATGTTATTAGAAAAGCGCATGATTAGCATGTTGCTAGCATGATTGCATGTTGCTAGTCATTAAACGTTGCTAGTGACAGACAGCTTAAACACTCTAATCTTACTGTACAAACGTTTTGACCCCCTCAATGAAAGTCTATTGGGATTTTGATAATCCGTTTTACAAAAATCGTAAGTCTGATCAGTTAGAAAAAATAGAGCAACCCGAGTCAGACCAGTCTCAAGATGTGACTCAAGTTTGGTGGTTGTAGCTTGAAAACTCTGGAAGGAGATGCAGTCTAAATTTGATCCAAACTTTCGACAAGTGTAAAAAGAAAAGCTTTAATGATATACTTACTGTATTTAATATATTCCTGCATCTTCTGTAACACGGTGAACTTTAGGTTGCTCAGGTGTTTTGGAACATCGATGAGCATTTCTGAAACGTTCTCTGGATCTGACAGACCGTGCTGACCTCTGGAAAAACATTCAGGAGTCAGTTTATTTCAGATCACAGAACTCAGAACTAAAATATAGCCTACAAACCTTTTCAGTGTGTTCTTTAAGTCCTGTAAAGAAAAGAAAAAGAAAGAAATACAAATTATTAAGCAACACTGAATTCAGTTTTAATCTCTGAAAATGAATTTGATATGTTTGCAGTTGTCTCCAAATGTATAAAAATAATGAAAACTCATTGGCACCCGCAGGAATGAATCATCTCCAGCTTTCATCTGCTCCTCTGTGTCTCTGATTGTGCGTGTGAGATATACAATCTGTTTGCTGGTCTCCTCAATCTTGTCGATCATCTTCTGACTCTTCTGCTTCTCTTCCTCTCTTAGCGCTGTTATTCTGATCGCTTCCTCGTCATGCAGAAGCTGGTGAAGTTTCTGAAACTCTGCTTTAATCTGCTTCTCTGTGCATTGAGCCTGAGCCTGAGCTCACAGAACGATATGATTAAACTAGGTCCATATCAAAGGGAATATATATATATACACACTCTAAAAAATGCTGGGTTGTTTCAACCCAACTTTGGGTCAAATATGGACTAACACAACTTTTGGGTTAAAAATTGAATGTAAAAGTGTAACCCAACGGTTGGGTTAGTCCATATTTGACCCAAACACAATAAATATATAAACTTCAGTATATCAAACCTTAATATGTTTAGCAGATTTATTCAAATTCTCTTTAAAATCCTCAAATTTGATCAGTTTCTCCTGTAAGTGGTTCAGTAAATCCTGGAGTTTCTCCTGGAAGAAATCAACAGAAAAATAGTCTCTCACTTTCCGGCTTTGTTTATTTTCATATTTCAGATTTTGCCTCTTGTATTTCACATACATTATTATTATGGATAGTGGAGGAAAAAGTTTACATTATACATTTATTCAGTGATTTTTCATTACAAAAGGTTAGTGTGTGAGAATAAATATACCAATTATTTAGAAACACACATATACTGTATATATGTACTGTACATGTGTGTGTGTATATATATATATAAAGTTATTTTATATACAGGTAGATTTTAATTTCTTATACAACCGTGTCAGAAGACATTTCCTATGGCCATATTCCAGGAGGCTAAGATTTATTAGGCTCAAAGTGTTGTGAAAGGAGTCGACTTTACAGAGTGATTCGACTGTCCCATTGTCAATACAGGATCTCGGCCAATAATTAATGCAAGTTTTGGTGCAAATAAACGCTGTGATGTTGCATAACTTTGTCAAAACAACACCACAGCCAATGCACAATGTTATCAAAGCTAAAGGGGACTCAATAAAATATTGGAGCGAGCATATTTGTCAAATACTTGTCGATAATTATTGAGATGATTTCATGACAATTTCTCTTACCTTATTATCTGTCAGAGCTTCATCTATGGGACAGAATTTGTGGTTTGTGTGTTTTCTGGAGTCTCGACACACCAAACACACGGCCTGCTGATCATCCAGACAGAAGAGCCTGAGCTTCTCTTTGTGAAGGCTGCAGACGGCTTCGTCTCCTATTGAAGATTTCCGTCTTCTCTCCTCTTGGTAGGCCTCACACAGGTTCCTCAAATTCAGATTTAATGGAGCTTCCTTTGAAACTCTTCTCCTGCAGAGTGGACATGCTTTATGTTCTTGTTTTCCCCAAGATCTCTGAAGGCAATATCTACAGAAGCTATGAGTACAGGACAGAAGTACAGGATCTATAAAAATCTCACGGCACACTGGACAAATCAAATCCTCCTCAGAAAAAGATCTAGATGTCATTTTCGAAGTTACGTGTCGTAACAAAGTTTCTCTTTTAGTGAAGTAATAATCTGGTTTGAACTCTCAGCAGTCTGTTTCCAATCAAAAAGCTTCATATCCACAGCTGATATTCCTAAAAACATGTAGTATAATATTAATCATCATCAGAAATCGTAATAATCACCAAAGTATTCAGTGTTCAATGTCGACTGAACTAGATCATCAGATGTCCGTCTAAAGTTCATTTTTTAATATCAGCATTTATAATAGTCTACCTTTGAACTGTTCAGAGTTCAGCTCATTCAAGGTGTTTTTATCTGCTGAAGAATTAGTTAGTTACAATCTCTGATGGCCACATTAACGATCAGATGTTTTTTGTACTTTAATTCTAGCCATTTCATGTTCACTAGAAAGCCTTAAAACAGCTTATAATATTAATAAAGATCTGTTGTAGAAGGAATGCTTTTATTTTAGGTAGTATTTCACATTTTTTAAGTGTCAATAAACAGTAGGTTTTAGAAGATGAATTAGTTGTTTCTCTCAGTTACATTAAAAAAACGATCAACCACAGACACGGGGGCTATTGAATGCTTGATTCTGATTGGTTGATGAATGTTAAATGCATGCAATACAAGTAAATAACACAGTAAAGTAACATACACAGTAACGGACACATAAAGCACACATGCTGTATATACACATAAATATTCACACACACTTCTGTCACCAAACTGACTCTGATTATGTTATAATTCAGTTGCATTTTCAGCATTAGCTTACAATGTTGAAACAACACCTCGGTAACAATCATCCATCAAAATTCACACACTCACAGTCGAGACGATACATGAGTGTCTGGGGTTCTGTCACCAAACTATGCCTCAGTTACATTAAAAAAAACGATCAACCACAGACACGGGGGCTATTGAATGCTTGATTCTGATTGGTTGATGAATGTTAAATGCATGCAATACAAGTAAATAACACAGTAAAGTAACATACACAGTAACTTACACGAAAAGGACACATAAAGCACACATGCTGTATATACACATATAAATATTCACACACACTTCTGTCACCAAACTGACTCTGATTATGTTATAATTCAGTTGCATTTTCAGCATTAGCTTACAATGTTGAAACAACACCTCGGTAACAATCATCCATCAAAATTCACACACTCACACAAAGTCGAGACGATACATGAGTGTCTGGGGTTCTGTCACCAAACTATGAATAAGCCCAACCGAAGTGACAGAACCCTGACACTATTCCCCTTACAAGAGACTGCAGATGAAACATCAACACAACACAAGACTGAACTTGTTCCCCTTCCTCACCCAAAGTCTGGTTAAGACAGGGAAAGTTAATTACAATATACAATGGCCAAAACAGTGGTTTGATATTGTGTTACCTACGTTTTGCCGTTTCCTGAATGGTTTTGTTTCAAAATTGTATAAATGATCACTGAAAAGCTTTCAGATGGCATATATATATATATACACACACACACGATGTTGTTTAGCATAAACATGCATTTCCTTCATAGTGTCAAAAATGTAAACTCGGTAAGTGTTTACAGATTGATGCACACAAGACTGCGGTTTGAATCACTATCATTAATGTAGTTTGCATCTTCATAATGTGAATAATTCACACAACTCTGTAAATAAATACACCAATATATTTAAATTAGAAAACACATCTAGTTCACACATTTGTGCCTTTGCTAAAGGAGGTAAATATTCATAGCGGATTATTTTCACGAATATTTTTGCTGTAATTTTTCAAATAATGTTTTGGAAACTAAACCATTTTAAAAAGCTACATGAACAACTAAGACATCCGAGGTACAGGAAATTAAAATGTTTAAGTAAAAAGATTTGCAAGTGTATTTGGGGGGGGAAAAAAAACAAAACACACATCGATAACGGTTACTTTATTTGAAATCAAAAAAATGACTTGACAGAACCACAAATTAATAATTAGCATTGATTAAATATTTTTGTGCGAAATATCTACATCTGAACTTGATTGTCACAGATCACCATATGTCACCCCTGAATGTCAAAAGGACCCCCTCCCAAATGTGGCGTCGGTCGAGGGGGACCCCGCTCCAAACGGCAAACCCAGTGGAGAGGGAACACTCACCCATGATTTCGACTGAGGGGGGCCTACGACTAGTTTGCGCCCATAGTTCATTCTCATCATAATCTGGCTGCGGATGATCGGTGACTTAAGACGGCTGTTGTGGAGCATGGGTAGGTTGTAGGTTGGTTCTGAGGTGCGGACCGGGGCGGGGAATAAGTTAGTTGCATGGACTGAATGAACTTTCCGTGGAAATTGCTGTAGGTTTTGCAAGTGTATTTGGGGGGGAAAAAAAAACAAAACACACATCGATAACGGTTACTTTATTTGAAATCAAAAAAATGACTTGACAGAACCACAAATTAATAATTAGCATTGATTAAATATTTTTGTGCAAAATATCTACATCTGAACTTGATTGTCACAGATCACCATATGTCACCCCTGAATGTCAAAAGGACCCCCTCCCAAATGTGGCGTCGGTCGAGGGGGACCCCGCGCCAAACGGCAAACCCAGTGTAGT